TATTCCTAGTCTTTTGAGGAATCTCCACACTGTTTTCCATAGTGGCCGCACCAAACTGCATTCCCACCAGCAGTCAGGAGGGTTCCCCTTTCTCCATAGCCTCTCCAGCATTTGTCATTTGTGGATCTTTGAATGACGGACATTGTGACTGGTGTGATGTGATACCTCATTGTAGTTTTGATTTGCATTTCTCTGATAATTAGTGATATTGAGCAATAAATGCATGGTTTTATCTTGGGCAATTTCATAGCTGTTAGAATGCATTATAACTCGAATACTGACCTTTCAAGATAATTACAACTTAATGGTCAGTGGTACCTGGTGCAATACTTATATCTGAAGAAATAACTTACAGGTTGATGTAAACTCAAGGTACTTTATAAACACTATGTTGCAGGAAAATTTTTTGTTATCCACCTACCGTCACACTTCAGCCAGAAGCTGCCTTTCAAAATGTGTTTTATATAGCATGTCAGATCAGGCAATAATGACATATCCATAGGATATATTCCACTATTAACTGAAAGTCAACCCCATTTAAAATTCTTACCTGATTCGGTATGTGAAGAAATAGTGGGGTGGATGTACAGAGCTAAGTTCTGGCAGAAACGACGTGGACACTGAAACTGTAATATCCCCCGTTGTTGCTACACACTCTGGATCATGAACGTATCTAGGTAATTTTAAAAATTAAACATTTTAAAATCAATAAATGTCAATTCTGTCAGACAAAAGATTTAAAGATATGATGCAAAATAGTTTATATTTTACTTTAGGATCAAAAATTTAAATCACTTTTGAGACCTTAAAGGTATAGTCATTAAGCTCAGAAGAAAACTAGAAATTACAAACTAGAAAATCTTGCAGACTCTGAATCAGTAATGACAGCAGTCAAGGTTCAATGATCAGTGGTTCAATAATGGCTCCGTAACTACCTTAGAAACTAAAAAAGAGCTCATCTCAGTTTTCAGAGCTAAGGAAACTACTGGGACATCTGAAAACCGAGCTATGTCCTATAAACAGTGACTCCGACAATAAAAATGTGTTAGTATGTTATTCTAGAGTCCTCTAATGTGTAATTAACCTGTCATTTCTGTCCACCAAGCTACTGTGAACCAATATTACCTCTAATACTGTCTCTAATACCTGAATGTTCCACTTAGAGATAATAAATAACAGTTTTCAGGAGTTAATAGTTACTGATTTGCTATTTTCATGATAAAGCTATTAATTGGCAAACAGCTTCCCCTCACCAGAAAAAAAAATTATATAACTACTATAAAGATACAACTTCTAAATCAAAATCACTTTTTTCTCTTGATTCCTCAAGATGAAAAAAATACTGGCTGTTCAACTGTTTGGATGTCTTGGCTTTAAAGTGCGGATAAAATAATGAGATTTCAGATGAGAGCCTCTGTTATTAACCTTCTTGGGAAACTTCATCTCATGATCTGTAACTGATGGTTTTTTTCTAATTTATAATCATTCTAATCCAAAAAGCCTCAAGTGAAATACCTGAAAATCTGGTCTCTGATGATAGGGAAGCCACCTGATACAACATTGTTGACATAAGAAGTAAACCAGTCAGTAAAAGTAGCACCTATAAACAAGGAAGGGGGAGAAAAAGGACAAATAGATTTTTAAAATCTATACAGGAAATAAACAATTACAACCTCCCTATGCTTAAGGTGTGCTATCAAAACTAGAAACATTCTAGATATCATTCGACTAATCCTTTATTAAGTAAATTTCTATCCTCAATTCTATGCATCTTACTCTCAACTACCTTGCTAAGGAATCCTCGACCTACCTTCAAATCACTTCTTACAATTATAATTAAATAGTTGACTTTTAAACTTTAATTTGTTTTGGTACAAAAATGAAAAGCCTTCTGTCTATAATTTCTAGAACATATGAAACAAAGGATATACAGCTATGTCTAGAAAGAAACTACAGAAAAAATACCAGCACCTGTCCTCAGATGATCAGGGTACATCCCTAGTCCGGGTACATCCTGATTCATGCACAAAATTCTGGCAGAAGCCAAGCTCACTCTGGACATCTAATAGGGGTACAGCACTGTGGAATTCTGGGAATCAGGCCAGTCCCCAAGTGATCTAGTTGCACTACTACAGATTCAAATGTACTGTGGCCCTCCATAGTCTCAGCGACCTGCTTGAAGCAGAGAAGAAAGACTGGGATGGTCCAGTCTAGACCATACTGCCATGATCTAGTGATTGAGTGAATAACAAGTACTTGCGTGAATTATGTTGCCTCTTCTAGGCAGTACAACATAACTTTCTCAGACTCCCATTGTTTACTGTTAATACATCTCAGTCTTGAGTACAAATTAGTCCCTTAATCAATGTTGTTCAATGAATTTTTTCATAATCTTGTTTCTACTAACCCAGTTCCTGCACTCTGCCACACTGAATGTCAGATGCTAAATTTAAAGTATGTATTTATTTAGTATTCTGTTTAGGGGATGATTGAAGATACAATTTAAGCTTGAATCTGAGGGTCTACAGCTTTAAAATTTTAAACTTATCAATTGAGAGAAGGTAAACTATAGTAGTTTACTCTTCTCAATGTCTATTAATGGCCTACTCTGATCCTCTATTAAATGCTACTGTGTTCAAATGATCACTGATCATCTATCTACAGGGGCCACATGAATGTCATTAAAACTCACAGAAGGTACAATTTTGAGAAGTAGTTTCCCTGTAGAGTTTTAAAAATCATTTTGTGTATTTCATGAAATACAATGTTAAGAAAAAATAAATTTCTAATGATTTACACAAAAAAGGAAACTGGCATGCTGTATTTTAATGTACCTTCATTTATTATAATACATACCAAAGTGTGTTCTTTAAAATGAGGACAAAATTTTTCATGCAGCCTTCACCACTAAACTTATCTCCACATAGATTCCAGTTTTCTTAATGTCAGAAGATTCCATCTTATGTTTTACCAAAAATTCAAAGAAAGTCAAACTTAGTTGAATCAAGATGTAATTTATACGTTCCAAGGTGGTTTACCTTTTAAAGTAAGCCCATACCTTGGCATTTCTTTGATGGTACTGGGGTTTTATCAGGTAGTGTAAAGGCAGATCAGATGCCTTCCCATCTTTCCTTACAGCACTAGCTTCCCACCTCATCTCTTAGTGCATCTCAAATCTTTTGCTTTGCTCTCTCATTCTAGGAGAAAATCCAGCTCCTAGAAGAGTATCCTCAGCCCTTGGTACTGCGCAGTAACGGTGCTGTCTTTCACACCATGTCAGACCAGCACCAAACTAAAAGCCTCACCAGGAGCTCACCTTAGAGCTCAGGAAGCCTTTAGTTTATAAACTGAGTAGCACCTGTGGCCTAGAGCCAGGCTGATCATCTTCTCTCACACAGAGAAGCCAAAGAGGGCAATGAGCAGGGGCATAAACCCAGAGGGTGCTTAACTTAGAAACCACAGACCACACGAATCAGGGTGAGCTGAAAGCTAGGAGCCAAGTTTCAAAGTGTTTTATAACTTACTACATAGGTGTGAGAACTTCCTGACGTTGTGAAGTCAGACCTAGAGTGTGCCATAGTTTGAACACATAGAGACGGATACTCTGTTCAAGGTTCCAATAGGAGACATAATTAGATACAGATGCCTTGGCCTGCAAGGCCCCTTTACTATTAATACATGAGGATGTTTAATATGTGCCAGAGACACCTTTAAAAAGCAGAATGGACAGTCAGGAATCTTCTCTTACATGAGCAAAATCTAAGCAAAACAAGAATGCATGAACGGCAAAAGGGTGAGCTGCACTTGCATACAAATTAAATTGTTCTCAAAATCCTTTTAAGGCCAAGAAAAATCAGGTGTGCCAAGCAGTTTACAGGGCCCAGAGCTTACACTGGTCTCTGAAGACTGCTGTTCTGCGGTCTCCGGTGTGACTTACCAGTGATTTACTACAGCACTGGCACCAAGAGAGAAAAAGTATAGTTATTTCACGTATCTATGTCTCTAATTATATATTAATATGATTGACGGAAAATGCATGTGTGTGTAAGGGAACTCTATACACATTCCTAGCAATTCTATACATCTTACTGTTCTACAGCAGAGTCCTAAGAGCACAAGGTTGTAAAGGCATGGCTTTTTTCCAAATAGAAACCAAATTCAAATACAATACGAGGGCTATTCTAATGAGAGACTAGATATAGTACTTCATGAACCAGCACGCTTTAAGAAATATGAAATCGCTAGCTGATCAAGTAACTGAAAAGTTTTTACCAACTTGAATATTTCTGACCAGAAGGAAGAAGGGAAAAAGAAGACTTTTTTTCTCCTACCTATGATAAACATGTCAATAGCAGCTGGATTCCGAGCCATTTGGTCCTAGTGAGAAAAAGAATATTATAAGATTATTATAACTGAGCAAAATACATTTTATTTAATTTCTCATTGTTCACTATCTGTATCCTTCCCTGGGGACAAGGCAAAACAGATAAAAATAACTTAAGTGCTCTACCCAACACTCAGACATTTCTCACACTTTTCAGTTTCTGCTCTTTTGATTTCTGTATTTAAGCTCTTCCTATCAAGTCCTTAGAAGAGTGCAGGTACTTCTCAATAACAGTTAAAGTGCTTATATACTGCTATTACTGTTACAATAAATCAAAAAAATTATCCTTCAAGAAAACAATTAGGAAGTTAAAACGGTAAGAAGATATATGGCCTATGAACCCAGAAGACAGAGCTTTGGATTCAGTCAAGAGACCTGAATGATTCTAGATTAGTCACTTCTCTCAGTAAATGCAGAGACTAAGTCATTATCCTACGTGAAAATGCTCAGAAAAAAAAAAAAACTTAACAGCTATGCAAGCTCTTTAAATAATTCAAATGTTATATGGAGTTACACGTCTCAGATAACTATGAAAAATGTTTTCTATTTTCAATTCCTCTTTTAAGTTAAAAGAGGCAAAAATAAAGGCAGAAGGTCTGCAACTGAGGAATGACTAAGAAACCAAATGCCATATTTTCAGTATTTATATTGAAATCATAACAAAAGTCTAAGAACAATCTACATTTTTCAACAACTCAAATACCTACTGAAGAAAGAGTTTAGAATGTTTCTACTATACTTAGAACTTGAAGCAAATGAAGTTCAAAAGTTAAATTTTTTAAGTTAGAAATGTATAGTACAGTTAGTCAGTTCAACAAAAAGCTCACTAGTTTTCCTTAAACTTAAAATGATGTTACACAAATCACAGCTTCCCCTCTGTATGTACAAGTTTGCATTGTTTGTCCATTGGTAAAATTTTCTTTTGACATTCCACGCCATTATATCAGAATACTAGCCCCCTAGTTAGACAGGTCTATAATTAAGTTGAATAACGCTCTATACCCATTCTACAACCTGAAAATTCCTAATGCACACCTTTATACGCTCATACCACTTACAGCCACATTTAGGCATACTTCCTACTTACTGGACATTGGTAGAAGACTTCATTTTTGTTTCGGCCCTCCGCAGCTTCCACTGCTATGTACTGACTCAAACCAGTATGTATGCAAAATGTTAAAGGGAGACAGTATTTCAGTCCCTGTCTCTGCTGGAAGCCTCCAGCAGCCGTATCGACATCCAACAAATCCTCAGAACGATAGTGATTAGACAGTGCCATGCTTCCCAGCAACCTGAGAATACAGACTCAAAATTTAATCAATTGCAATGCCAAAAACCCAGCTGTGCTTCATCTTTTTGATGAATAATAATTTCACTTTGACAACTTTATGAGAACTGATAACATGTCAATTCAAACCGAGAATACCCAAAACATCACAATTTCTGTATATAATAAATTCAAACTCTTGAGTGGAAAGATTCTGATGTAAATTAAAAGCCTAAATGTCTAAACTGTCTAAACATCAATCTTTTAAAAAGGAACTAGTGTTACTGCTTTCAAAAACCTATCCTACCATAAACTGCCAGTGTTTTTCTATATATGCATGTATGACTAGTTTAATGTTTAAAGGGGTAAATTCTGACACCTTTATCTTGATACAACCTTTAACTTACCCTATCCTACCAGACAGTATAGATGTAAATCAGCCTAAACCTTGTCCAAATTTTCAAAACCTTGGGACGTGTGGGGTCTAACTTCATCTCACGAACACTACACATGACAACAACCAGGAGTCGGGGCTGGATGAGACTCCCAGACTAAGTCTCACTGTTTGGGCAGAAGGTAGATAAAAATCCCTGTGTTGGAATCATGACCTGTTTGTCATGGCAATTCTGAGCAACCCTTTTAATGAAGTTCCCTGCTGTTTGCTCTTGAAATATGACAATTTTTCAATTTTGTCAAGTTTCAGTCTGACAGGAAAATAGATTACAAAAAAAAAGCCACTAATTTAGGCTTAATCTAGTCCTAATGGCCCAATATTTGATTTTTGAATACCGCCTGTAATCTCAAGTGCGATCACCTCCCAGATTGCCTGCACTCACTCAACTCTAATCTGCAATGGTAACAA